CACACTCCTCTATGTCTGGCTCTGGGTGACTGACCACACCATTGTGGTTATCCGTTTCATTAAGATCTTTTTTTGTACAGTTTTTCTGTGTATTCTTTCCATCTCTTCTTGATCTCTTCTACTTCTAGTAGGTCTCTACATTTCTGTCCTTTATAGTGCCCATCTTTGGGCAAAATGTTCCCTAGATATTTTCAATTTTCCTGAAGAGATCTCTAGTCTTTCCCCTTCTGTTGCTTTCCTCTATTTTTATGCATTGCTTATTGAAGAAGTCCTTCTTGTCTCTCCTTGCTAATCTTTGGAACTCTGCATTTAGTTGGATGTACCCTTCCCTCCAGTATTTTGGTCACCTGATGCAAATAGCTGACTCATTGGAAAAGGCCCTGATGCTGGAAAGATTGAGGGCAGAAGAAGAAGAGGGCATCAGAAGATGAGATGGTTGGATGGCATCACCAAGGCCATGGACATGAACTTGGGTGAAATTTGGGAGATGGTAAGGGACAGGGAGGTCTGGGGTGCTGCAGTCCATGGGGTCACAAAGAGTTGGACACGACTAGGTGACTGAACAACAACAACTAAGTCCACATAAAGTAGTATCTAACCCTGAAGTTTAAACATTATGTCTCCTGCTAAGTCACTTCAGTTGTGTCTGACTCTATGCGACCCCATAGACGGCAGCCCACCAGGCTCCCCCGTCCCTGGGATTCTCCAGGCAAGAACACTGGAGTGGGTTGCCATTTCCCTCTCCAATGCATGAAAGTGAAAAAGGAAAGTGAAGTCACTCAGTCGTGTCCGACTCTTAGCGACCCCGTGGACTGCAGCCTACCAGGCTCCTCCGTCCATGGGATTTTCCAGGCAAGAGTACTGGAGTGGGGTGCCATTGCCTTCTCCAACATTATGTCTAACCTAATCTAATTTCCCAATGGGGTATTTATTTCTTTCTGTAATAAACTGTATTTAGTTTAGATGTGTTTTGTTCTGCTTTTGTTTTGGTTGCACCCTGTGGCCTACAGGACCCTAGTTCCTCTACCAGGGATGGAACTTGTGCCCCCTGCATTGGGAGCAGAGTCTCAACCACAGGATCACCAGGGAAGTCCCCAGTAAAGTATTTCTAAGTGGAACACTCCATACACCCTTTGTGGGTATAGACTCTTGTAACTTTGACATGAGAGATGAAAATTTCTTTTTCATCAATTCACCAAAACTTGGCCATAGGTGCCATGAAAAAGCCAGTATGTTAGGTTCATTGGAAGATTACAGGGTGAGTATAACATGGACCCTGCCTTCAGAGTCTGTTGTCTCTCCCACAAGTCAGGAAATCACTTAAACCTCTCTAGATCTCCATTGTCTAATGTAGATAATTTGAGAACTGGGGTAGGTACTTTCTGAGGTCATTTCCGTGACTTGAGAACTCTTGACACCGCACACATCCTCCACAGAGTAAAAAGGTCGTGTGAAAGGTCATTGGCAAAAGTCAACTCATGACCTATTTACAAATGACAGTACCTTAAATGCCATTCAAAGTGAGTTAAGTTACCAAAAACTCTGTTTCTTAATGATACTATACTAAAACTTAAAAGTTTCTAAGACAGTAAATCTTAAAGGTTCTCATAACACACACACACACCCCCACACACAAGTGGTAATTATGTGTGATGTATGTGTTAACTAAATATATGGTGGTAGTCATTTCACAGTGTAGATGTGTATCAAATCATTGAGTTGTTCACCTCAAACTTACCCCATGTTATATGTCAATTATATCTTAATAAAGTTGGGGAAAAATTCTGTCCTTTAAAAACTACAAACCTCCTCATTGTGCTATATAGAGTGGCTTGGGAGGTAAAGAATCTGCCTGCAATTCAGGAGACCATGATTCAATCCCTGAGTCTGGAAGATCCTTCGGAGAAGGGAATGGCTACCCACTCCAGTATTCTTGCCTGGAGAATTTCATGGACAGAGAAGCCTGGTGGGCTATAGCCCATGGGGTTGCAAAGAGTAGAACTCAGCTGAGTGACTAACACCTTCCTCATTATGCTATCCGAAAATATCACGTGGACCTACATCTCCATACCTATGCCACTGTCTGCCCCTAACAGGGATGACCCCTGCCCACCCATCCAGACCTTGCTGCCCTCCTGAGTGAGACCTCAGCTTACAGTGGTCACAAGTATCCATCTTTCCTTCTTGTAGGTTCATTCAATACTTTGTCATCACTAAATTCAGCTTTTAAGCCTTCACAGCGAGCCTATCATCTTGCATTATTAATATACAGTTAAATCCAATAGACCCATCATAGAACAAAGTGCTGTGGAAGCACTGAGGTCGAATGGATTAATTTCAACTGGGAGGACCGTGAGGCACCAGGGAAGAGATAATATTAGAGCACAGTTGTTTTCATGAATAGGACTTGGTAAAGGGGTTAATGTGGAGTGGTGATGAGAGGCAATAATCGATGATGATTCTAAGCTTTCATGACTGGGTCGATGATAATTTGTTAAACAAATGAACTTCTAGCTGGAGTAACTCAGTGACATGAATGCCATTTTCAATGCAATAGAAAAATGAACCAATATATGAGATGGAGGACAATGTTTGACTTGGCTTTAGACAATTTTTTAGGTGTCTGTGGGCAACTGACGAAGAGATATCCAACCAGTTACTTCTCTGAGGCCAGGGGAGAGTTTATGGGTTATTCACAGGAACTCTCTGTTCCCTCTTCATTGTATACAGTGCTGCATTAACAAAGAGTGCTTTGCAGAGCCACTGTCTCAGCGGCTCAGACAGGTTAACTGTTTTGCTCAACTGGTGGCAGAACTGGGCAACACTACCTCTTCTCACTGAAAATTTAGGGTTTTTTTGTTTGTTTGTTTAACCACTAAGAGAGATGAGGGTTGAGGCCAAGGAAGCAGATTACATTTTGGACAGTAGTATGAAACAAGGGAGAAAGAATAAAAGGACTTTAGGGCAACCCTTATGTTCAAGGAATAGTCAAAGAAAAAACGAGCAGATGAAGGCGACCACATGACCTGTCACTTCCTACCCCATGAGGCTCATCAAGCTCCTTAAAGGATGGGGTCTGTCATCCTTTCTTTCCCTGAAAGCAGGTTACCAGAGTGCATAGTGGAAACTGCTATACTTGAGAGGAGTAATGACAGTAGACATATAATGACTACTGTGGGCTGAGTAAGGTAAGTGCCTAGGACACTTACTATGATAACTGGGGAAGATGTAGGGACAGCGGGTTTTTAGACATGCTTGGAATGGCAGCTTCCTGAGGTGGGTCATTAAGAAGGGTTAAATTTAGGTATATGTGGATGAAGACAATGAAAAGATTTCTTGGAAGGTGGTGTTGTTCAATCCCTCAGTTGTGTCCAATTCTTTGCGACCCCATAGACTGCAGCAAGCCCGTCTTCCCTGTCCTTCACCATCTCCCTGAGCTTGCTCAAACTCATGTCCATTGAGTCATTGTGCCATCTTGTCCTCTGTTGTCTCCTTCTCCTCCTGGCTTCCGTCTTTCCCAGCATCAGGGTCTTTTCTAATGGGTTGACTCTTCGCATCAGGTGGCCAAAGTGTTGGAGCTTCAGCATCAGTCTTTCTAATGAATATTCAGGACTGATTTCCTTTACGATTGACTGGTTTGATTTCCTTACAGTCCAAGGGACTCTCAAGGGTCTTCTCCAACACCACAGTTCAAAAGCATCAATTCTTCCACACAAAGCCTTCTTTATGGTCCAACTCCACATCCATACATGACTACTGGAAAAACCATAGCTTTGACTAGACAGACCTTTTTCAGAAAAGTAATGTCTCTGCTTTTTAATATGCTGTCTAGGTTGGTCCTAGTCTTTCTTCCAAGGAGCAAGTGTCTTTTAATTTCATGGCTGCAGTCACCAACTGCAGTGATTTTGGAGCCCAAGAAAGTAAAGTCGGTCACTGTTTCCATTGTTTCCCCACTTATTTGCCATGAAGTGATATGGGGCCGGATGCCATGATCTCAGTTTTTTGAATGAGTGGAATGGATAAAAGGAAGGGGTATAGGAAACACTGCAGAGGATTTGAGGTAGAAGGTGAAATTCAGGGTGTGATTCTCCTGGTCAAACCCAGGGCTCTGGATGAGGAATGCTGGTTCCTGTCTAAGAGAGGGTGTTAGTGGTGGGAATGACAGCGCAGCAGCTTAGACGGGAGTCCCACTTCTGCAGGCTTGTGGGAAGGCCCAAATTCGGGGTCCAAAAGGCCCGATGGGTAAAGGCACAGAAGGATTAATAAGGTCACTGCAGGGCCACTTTGGGAGGCGGCCAACGCTGTGCTTTTTCCCTCGGTGCTAGGGAAGCCTGGTCTCCACAGCGTTCCAGGTCTCACTAGCTTTCCCCATTCCCGGCACGGGTCAGCGGCGCTGCACGGAGCCTCATTTCTTCGCCTGACAACCGCCTCTGGGGTGCTCCTGTCCTCTGACCTCTCCACTCTCCCCACCCTTTCCCCTTTTCTCCAGGACTCCGCGCGGGAGTCCTCACGCTCCCCGCGTCGCACGCCCACCCCGCGGCCTCCTCGGCCCGCGGGGAGCTACCGCCCCGAGCTCGCCTGCGCCCCCGGGGCTGCCGGGCCGCTGCTGCCGAGCCGGAGCGCGAGGGCGCAGCTTAACGGTCCCGCGGCCGCGCCCCGCCCGGCGGCGCCGCAGCTGCTGCCCGCGCACCCGCCCCCTGCGTCATGACGCCGGCGCCCAACGCGGAAGCCGCTCGCGGCGCGCCTGGTCCAGCCGCGGGCTGAGCGCCGAGCCGCGGGCGGGCGGGCGCGGGAGCCGAGCCGGGCGCAGCCTTCTTTGCCAGCCGGGCCGAGCGGGCACCGCGGGCTGAGCGGGACTAGCGCACCGGCGGGCAGAGCGGGGACACGGCGCGCCGGGGCCGCCGCCGAGGGGGATGCGGCTGCCTCCCCGGGCCGGCGTGTAGAGAGGGCGGGTCCCCGGCCTCGGGAGCGCGGCGGTGGAGGGGACAGAGGCGGCGGCCATGGCGACCCCCAGCAACCTGGGGTCCTCCGTCCTGGCGAGCAAGACCAAGACCAAGAAGAAGCACTTCGTCGCGCAGAAAGTGAAGCTCTTTCGGGCCAGCGATCCGCTGCTCAGCGTCCTGATGTGGGGGGTAAACCACTCGGTAAGGGCTCGGGCTGCGGCGCGCAGTCCCTTTCCTCCTCCTCTTCCTCCTCGCTCCCCTCCTCCTCTCGCTGCAGCTGCTGTGGGGCGGGGAGCCCGAGCCGGGCCCCGGCCCTCCGGCTACTAGCCCTCCGGGGCTGCCCGTTCGCCGCGGCGCTTGGGTGCCCCCAGCCCCGCGCGCTTCGCGCCCGCCCCTCGGGGCCGCCCGGGCGCGCCTCCGGGATCCCCTTGGGACCCTAGAGCCGGATGCGGGACGCGAGGGTCCAATTTGCATTTGAGCTCTGCGGCGAGTATCGGTATCACTCTCCAGTCCGTCCGTCCGCTCTCCGGCCGATCTGTCCCCGCAGCCCGGGAACTGGGAAGTTTGTGCGCGGCACGACTCCGCCGGGGCTGTCACCCCCGGCGGCGGGGGCTGTTGGGGCCAGAGTGCAGGCGATCCCTTCCTCTGCGGGGGCGGCCCGGTCCTCCGCCTTCGGACAGGTGTACCTGTCCGAGGCTGGGAGTGTCTGGAGCCTCCCGGCGCGAGGGACGGGGGCGAGAATACTGGAGATCGCGGAGCTTTGGGCAGAGGCTTAGTGCTTAGGTCCTCCCCCGCGCCCCCCCCAAAGGAGATATTCTTGGACACAAGGAATCTTTCTGGCAAAGAAAACGGCAATGTAAATATGGCACTGGCGTTTAGCATCTTTCCCTACTCCCCTCCTGTCTCGCCCTGCCGCTGTGTCTGCTGAAGAGCTGCTTGGCGGGGCGTCTTGCTCCGCACATCTCCTCCCCCACTTTGGGGAGCCAGGCCGAAGTCGCCGCCTGCGGAAGGGCGGCCTGGGGATGACCGCAGGAGAAGGGGCTCGGCGGGCGCGGTGGAAGAAGGCGGTCTTGAGTTGACCGCACCCGTTTGGGAGGTTTATTTCAAAAGCTGGAGGAGACGGCCTGGGAAGGTTGGCTTGGAAAGGTTAGCCTAACACACAAGCCAAGGTGCTGAAGATGCGCGGCTGCGGGCTATGCGGACTGCGGTCTGAGGGTCCCAAATAGCCTCCTGCTGATCTTAACAGCGAGAAACTCTTGCAGTTTTAATCACCTTAGGATCCAGAAACCCGATAGGAGCTGTTGGCTGAGCCGTGAAAGTTTAAATGAGCCTGTGAATTTTGACCATGACCTCCCCACTGCAGTCAATCGGCGTCTGGGGATAAGTGTATGTAAGCTTGTCTTCCGTAATTTTGATTTCGATGGATGTCTATGGGCCCTTTACAGCATAATAGAAATGACGGAAAACCATGCTGGCCTTTTAAAAGAACATTCTCAATGTAATGAACTTAGCTGAAGTGGTTCAGATACATCGTATTTGTATTTTTCTTCCCTCGCTGAGCTGGGGAAAAGGTGAAACTGTATTAGAATTGATTGATTGTGTTTGCAAAGAGTGACTGTTTTTAAGAAGGTTGAGACATGATTATTTCTATCAAGCCTAATGCCTGATCCACTGAAGTTCATTTTAACTTCCTGACAACTTCTTTAGCAGGCTTTTGCAACAGCAGACACTACTACATCATCCTCCACCCCCCCCCCATTTTATTACAGTAAATAAAATGTTATTTTTCCTATGTAATACATGTACAGTTCAGAGTTGTTTTAAATTTGTTAAGCTTTTTAAAATTATGATGTTGTTAGTTGCTTTTTAAAAAAAATGTTAATTCTGTATGTATGGAGGCTTTTGTCTCCTTTGAAGTGCTGGTGTTTTGATCAGGAGAGTGTTTGTGTCTGATGGTTTAACTTACTAAACTAGCAGCGATAACATGCCACTGAAAGAGCCTGTTCTCTGGGAATTTAGTCCAAGTCCAGTTTACTTTAGGAACCTTGTAATTGTGTGTGTGTTACTGTAACCACTTCTGTTGGTACTTTGTATTTTTGAATTGCTACATTTGTTTTAGAATTTCTTGCTAATTGGAAATGTTTTGAAACTATGTAAAGTTTGTAAAAATAATGTGTGATTTGTAGATAGTGCATTTTCTTTTGCTGTCAAGAAAGTTTGCAAGTCTAAGTGTAGTCATCCAGACAAGTCAAGTTTCCATAGTATGAAATATAACCATGTTATTCATTCAACAAATATATATCATCAGGCATATTGTGGTAGTTGCTGTGCAAAAGACTGCTAAAAATGCTCCGCATGTTTTTGTTCAGATATCTTTTTTTTTTTGAGGGCTCTGAGTTGACATAAGAAAGGTCTGTTTCACAGCCTTCTTTTTAAAAATGTTTCTTTTCTTTTTTTTAAAGAAAGGAAGTGTATATAAAGATGAAATCTAAGCACTCAGATGCCATGTGTTTCTGGTTGATTTCATTTTAGGTAACAAAGTCTTAGATAAATGTTTTCATATGACCTTGTGTGCACCAAAATCTACAGTATAGTATGAAAATAAATTTGTCAGTTGTATTGTGTATGAATGGAGACTTTTGGGAAAGCCTATCGGAGCAGGAAGAGATCATTCAAATCAGTCCTTCTCTATATTTCTTCTTCTTTTTTTTTTAATATAATTTTATTCATTTATTTAATTTTATTTTTGGCTGTGCTGAGTCTTCATTGCTTTGTGTGGGCTTTCTCTAGTTGCGTTGAGTGGGAGTTTCTCTTCATTGGGGTGAGTGGGCTGCTCATTGTAGTGGCTTCTCGTCTCATAGAGCGCAGGCTTGAGGCACTCGGGCTCAGTAGTTCCAGCTTGTACGCCCTAGAGCACTGGCTCAGTAGTTGTGGTGCATGGGTTTAGCTGCTCCTGGCATCTGGAATCTTCTTGGACTAGTGGTCAAACCCATGTCCCCTGCATTGGCAGGTGGTTTCTTATCCGCTGCACCACCAGGGAAGTCCCCTTCTGTACATTTATAATGTGATCAAAATTAATGGGAAAAGATGTCATGAAGATTGCAATTTCTTGCTTTTACAATTTGTATTTGGAAAATACAAATTTTCCCGCTAAAGGGGAAACTACTACTCTGTGGTCATCTGCTACATTGAGAATCTACATTGTAGGCATCTTATAATGTTGGGAATCATCTACATACCACAGTAAAATGCTCATTGAATCTGTGTTCCCATTCTTTTTCTAACTCTGTTGACCTTGGGCCTATTAACTGTTTTTGCATAGATATTTGCTCTGTGAGGTAAGGTTATTGAACTGGATGATTTCCAACTTTTCCCCCTAACTTCAGGATTCAACTACTTTTACAGTCAGTTAGGTTCCTAGCATTGAGTTAGGGTCCCCAGACTAGAAAGAGTAATAATACATGATGAAAGAATAATGATAGAGTTAGACTATTATAGAAGAGTAATAATACATAACAATAGTTACATGACTATTATAACCTTGCAAATGCAACCACTCTCAGGGAATTTTCAAGGCCATGGCTAGAGGCTAGGAAATCTGTGGTGATGGCAAGAGATGTGTGAACTAAGAGTTTGTGGGATTGATTGTAGTTGGACTGCATTGCAGTCTGTTATGTCCAAGTCTATTTGATCGAAATGTAGAAACTTGCTATTAAGGTGGAAAATTTCAAGTCCACTGTGGTGCTAATTCTCAGTGACAAGAATAAGCTTGACTTTATGTGGTTAATTTGATATGTTACTGCTTTCTGACTTAGAATACCCATCAGTGAATGGACCACTGCCAATTTTTATTTTAAGTATTTTAAGTGAAGAATATAATTGAATACATAAAGGAAAAGACGACTTAAGAAGGCAATTTTGTCTTGTTACATTTGGAATTAAACTAAAAATGATCAGGCAGTTAGCTTCTTACAATATTTTTAATAGTGTGTGGAACATATAGAATGATAGGAGCCAGGGCTTGTTTTAAATAGGTATTCTGAAAGATTTTTATGTGAGTGAAATACCTTTTTAGAAATGAGTATTTAAAAGCTGTTTTAATATCTATAGGAAGACCTTTTGGACAGAAAGAGTTTAGAGGATGTAAAACTTGCTTAAAACAAATGCAGTGTTTAGAAGTAATCAACATTAATGTTAATGTTTGGATTTTTTTCCCTTTTTTTTTTTTTTTTTTTGGTAGCAAGCCATGGAAATGTGGATGAAAACAGGCCAAATTCTGAAATATTAGAAGGGTTTTGGAAATCACAGTGGAAGGATGGATTGGTAAGCAAACCAGGAGAGCAGGGCTAGGCTGGGCATTGTGAATAATTGGAGCCAGTGCTTGGGTACTCTTGGGACTTTTCTGTCTGTTTTGGTTTTGTTCTTGCTCATAGCTGTCAGGTTTCCTCCATGAGCAGAGAACTAATGCTTCTTGAATCTTACTGTTTGTAATCTTCCCCTCTCCGCAAAGGGGTTTTCTGGCTCTGATTCTGTTAATAAAAATCCCATGGAAGGATTCTGACTGGTCCAGCTTCCGTCGGTGGTGGCATTTCTTGGATCGAGCAGTTGTGAGGTGACAGCTCTTGCTCATTGGGGTTGAGGAAGAACATTTCCCCGAAGAACGGGCAGGCAGCATCAGGCAGCTGTCCATCCCAGTACTAGAGCTGAGGAATTGTCTCGGTGCCCGGGCACCATGTTTTGTGTGTTTTGGCAAATACGCCATTTTCTGAGCTGAGCATTGTAGCCTTTGTTATGTTCTCATCAAGATCCTAGACTTGCAATGATATTGGAGAAATAGTGATGCCTTTTAGGTTCATGGGTTTCTATTTGGGCACCAAAAAAGATAAAAGAAGGAAACTAGGGTTTAAAAGTGAAGTGAATAACTGTGAAATGTTGACTAAATTGAATGGAATGAGGCAATTAAATGAAAACCATAACAAGTTAGACAATAGATGAAACCCAGTGAATGGAACCCAAATAACCATTCAGTGAAGAACTAGTCTCAGACAATTGTTTTTCCCCGTTCCCTTTACTTTATAGAGAAAAGAATAATCCCAGGCACATACATGCAAATGTATTATTAGGGAAATATTTTTATACCCGCTAAAACTTGGGATTATATCCTGAGAACAGAATACACTTTCTTCTCCATTTATTGACTA